AATGGTAAATTTTAATATTCTACAATAGTTTTAGGTCATAACCTAGTACATTCCATCTCTCTGGAGTCTTGACCGATTCTGTGCTCGAACTGACCAGCAGACCCTGAGCAAAGGATGAATGGATTACTCTGACACAGATTTCTCTGAAAGAGAGGCTAAGGGATTGCTTGGCTATAGGAATCAAGCTGCCCCTTTTAACTGCCTCCTTAGGCTTTCATTGTAACAACAGCTAAAACTACAATTAACTTTTAGATACAATCAACAGGGTAAGTATCCTTGAGAAAGCACATGCTTCTATAAGGTTGGGTATAAAGACTAAACATAGAGATTCCAGTAAAACACCTAGGGGCTTGGACTTGTTTGGAAAAGTCAAGGCAGGGGATGCTATCTTCTGCCAGGTCCCCAGAGGCCCCTGACCTTTCAGAGAATCCTCCTTATAGGCTTTCCAACCAAGTTCCGTGCTTCCTCACAATTCTATACCTACTCTTTGACCTCAAATAAATCTCTAGCTGTCCACCGATTAAACTATATTCCCTAAAAATTTATCAGTTCCCCCTAACTCCTCTCTCTTCTAAGATGAATATGCCACTTTTCTAGATATATCATCCAGAACTGGGATACTTTTAAGAGTGAAAGAGACGCAATTCTTCATTATGCCAGGAAAACAAGGGTAAGCTTAGACTTTCCCAGGCAAACTAGGGCATATAAGCCCCTACTTCTTTCCTTACACATATTGAATCAATTGACTTCCCCTGACTTTTCTCTTTCTACGTTTGTACTAAAAATCTCCAACTCTGACTCAATCCCTCCTGACTCACCAGCCATTAAAAAAAAAAAAAAAAAAAAAAAAAAAAGCTTAGCTAATTCTTACTAATATTTCAATATTGTGCTCATATCACCTCCTCCAAACAGCCAGCTCTTTCTCTGCAATTTGTTATCAGAGAACTCAGTAATCACAGTGTCCTATTCATGATTATATCGCCATGTTTCTCACATATCAGGCATATAGATGTACTCAATAAATCTTAAAGTTCTACTCTAATCATCCCTTATGTGTCTATTCTAAAATGCATTATATGAAAAATTAAACAAGTCAAAAAGAGTTAATTTTAAACTAACAGATAGCAATTAAACTAATAACAACTAGAAGGTGGTTGTTTTTTGTCCTGAGCTTTTTACACTTTATGTCTTATGAACCCTAAGGAACACGAAGGGCTCCTGGTGCTAACCAGGCTCAAATTTAAAAAGATTAAAAAGCACTGCCTGTTAGCCATTTCTGCCTCTCAAGCAAATTGCACCTCACAGAGAAGCTTCCGCACTGTATCTCTGCCACCTGAGCCGGCACTTATTAAGAAACTAGAGGCCCAGGGCACAGATTTATGCACCAGCGGGGTCCCTCGCCTGGCCTGTAGAGATCAGTGGACCTCCGCGCCACCGATCCCGCACAGCACAAAGTAGTGCGCAAAGTGGCAAGTGGTTGGGAAGGAGCCCAAGCCCCAACTGGGCACCGTGCCACTCCCACTCATCCCGGCCCCACTGCACTGCTCGGATGAGCAGGGGCAGTGTCCATGGGAGAGACTCATGCTACAGCAGCTGTGCTCACCAACCGTGAGCCCAGCATCTGGCACCCATCTGTCAGCTGAGCACGGGAGCACACTGACCATCAGGGGGCAGCTCCTGTATTGAATGTCTGCCCCCTGGTGGTCAGTGCATGTTAATAGGCTTTTATAGAGAGATTCTTAAAGTCCTATTTCAAACAATAGGATGAGGCTTTCCCCATCCTATTGGAGCTGTGCACCTCTGACCATTCAGAGCAACTCTGTTCTGACCAATCAGGGACCTGGGTCAGGGAATTCTGTCTATATAAGCCAGCTCCCCTAGGGCTCAGAGAGTGCACTTCCCACAGGAGACTGAAGACTGTTTCCTAGGCTCCCAAAGATGCCTCACTGGAACAGAGCAAAGCAGACCATCATGGAGCAGAGCTGCCTAGCTAAAGAGGGATCTCGCCCCAGGGCAGCCTCAGTGGTTGTGCTTTTCACAGCTGTGCTGCAGCACTATGGAGCTGTGCCACAATGATGCTGTTTTCTGTTGAGCTGTTTGCACTAAATAAAGTTTCCTTCCTCACCACACACCAAATTGGGGACTCCTGTTAGCACTGAATTGGTTCCAACAACCACTGATTGACATCCCCATACATTTTATTGCACTGGTTTCTGACTGTTATTCTCTCCTAGTTCTGTCTTTTAATACATCCATCAAATTTCAGAATTACAAAAAGATACATAGAAGTCAGGGATTAAGCAAGAAAAGCAAATTTTGGAACATATATATCAAATGATTATGTTTTGAAAATTATACAAATATAAACATGCATGTTCTTGAATATGTATAATTTAAAAGTAAAAATGGCCCTGGCCAGTGTTGCTCAGAGGCTAGAATGTTGGCCCACCCACCAATAGATCACAGGTTTGATTCCTGGTCAAGGGCATATACCTGGGTTGCAGGTTCAATTCCCAGCCCCAGTCAAGGCACATGATGTGAAGGCAACCAATCAATGTATCTCCCTCACATCAATGTCTCTCTCTCTCTCAATCTCTTTTATCCTCTCCCCTGCTCCTTTCCACTCTCTCTAAAAGTCAATGCAAAAAAATATCCTTCAGATAAGGATTAACAAAAAACAAACAAAAAAGTAAAAATTTATATACATCAAACTTTTATCATTAACTACCTCTGAAGAGTGAGACAGAATAGTGGGAAGAATGCCACTTTCTAATTTATGTACCTCTAGTTTGCATTTTTATCACAACTATATATATATACACACACACATACACACACACATACACACACCCAGTGACCGGAATGGCAGAACAACCAGAATAAGCAGTGGCTATAATAAGCACTGCAGCAGAAACCAGTCTGATCCGGACCCCTATCTCCCCCCCCCATCCCACCCCCTGCCAGCCCAGCCCCTAATTGGTCCCCAACACCCCAATCGGGGTGGGACCGGCTGGCCAACCACCCATGGCTCCTCCCTCCAGCCAGCCCATCTCTGATCCACTCCCCCACCCCAATCAGGGGTGGAGCTGGCCAGACCCCACCCATGCACGAATTCATACACCAGGCCTCTAGTAAAGATATAAAGAAAAGATTCCCCAAATAATTTTTAAAGAGTATTTTTAAAACAAAAGATTAAGAAGATAAAAATCAAATTTCACAGATACAATACTTAACATTAAAAAATTACTTCTCCTTCAAGTATTTTTTATTTAAATTTATTTTGAAAATAAAAAAGGCACTTATATCATGATAGTTACTTTTATGAAAAATCTCCCAATTACATTTTCCACTCATAGAATGCCTCCGATTTCTGAACAACTTCATTCCTGCTTTATAACCTAGGCTCCTGAACCATTCTAGCTCTAATTGAGCGCCTCAACAATAAATCGGTCTAACCACAGGTCCAACCATTACTGTGGTTGCACAGCAAAGAAATCTTTGTCCTTTTGCTCTATGTTTTAGGGAAAAAGTCTTTCGTTCATTTATTTATTGATTCTTCCAGTAACTACTTATTAAATGTCTATGACATGCCTGGCACTGAGTGAGGTCCTAAGAACACACAGATAAAAAGTACTGGTCACAGCTTCCGGGAGCTTATTAGAGGAGAAGCAGCTCTAACACAACAATAATGGCTACAAGGAATCCCTGTACACAGTGAAGTATAATCCCAGCCCAGCTGGAGGAAAGGCTTCACAGGCACCCTAACTCACCTACAGCAGTCCCTTCTTCACTGACACTTTCCTCCTTTCCTCTCAACGAAAACATGACACTTCTCCCTTTGAAAACACTGCTTAAAAGTTGCCTCCTAATCCTTAAAAAAAAACAAAAAAACACATACCTCTACTTACTCTTAAATGTCATACAACTCTTAAGGAAAACAACCATATCCGTGAAACTCAAGAGCAAGCAAGTAAAGAAAAAAAAAAAAAAAATGTTCACTGAATGCCAGCTCTACACAAATACCAGAGAGAGCAAGTACTTAAATCATTTCTCACTGGCCTACCTCTAGTTGTCTCTACTAACTTGTTTATCACTCGAATTTTAAGCTATCCCCTATTTGAAATAGTGAATTTTTCAAAAATGAATACTTAGACTACTCCAGTCACTAGGTACATATTCCTAGGAATAACCAACTGATGAGAAGGTGGAGGTGCCTAACAGCAGGTAGGGAAGGAACTCCTGTTGTTGTTTTAAATAAATATTAATATTTATTTAATAACTAGTCCCAGTGTATCAAATACAACATAAATGATCTAGTTTTCTTCCCTTTAACTTAATACAACCAAATGTAAAATCTGCAGTCAATGTATATTTAAAGTTAGAATACTATCAAATTTTTCAGCAGAAACTTTGCAGGCCAGAAGAAAATAAGATGATATAATCAAAGTGCTGAAAGTAAAAACTTCAAACAAAAAATAATCTACATAGCAAGATTATCAATCAACAAACTGTCTAAAATACTTAATAGAAACCTATCAATATACTTCAAATAAATGACTAAAATAGTAAATGATTATATGATTATATTAGAAATTGGGACTAGTAATGTTATTAACAGAAATACATAAACCAGAGAAGGAACAGGCATTTAAGAAGAAAATTAATATGTTGAGTTTAGTGACAGGCAGTGGAAAACAAAGGACTGGTACACAGGCTGAGATTGAGATTCTGCTGATTATAAGTGTTAGTTGAAAAAAATAATAATTATATCACAAATGGTACACAATTCAGTAAGATAAATAACAAGCAAAAGATAACACAAATATAAAATGACTGTAGCCTGATTAGGTAGGAGAATAGTCTAACAAAAAAACTACAAATCAATACAAGTCAAAACTTTCAAAGAAAAAATATAATCATTTTGGTAATTATTTAGTAATATAAAAATAACTATTTTACTTTTATTTTAGTAATTTACTAAGAAGATAATGTAATCCTACCTTACTACTCTTCATTGTTGGTCATATCTTAGCTAAAGTAGCAGGTCCATGTTGAAGGGTTACACATTAGGGATGAGGAAGACACAATAAAACTTTCAATGGCGTCTCACGGAATGATCATAGGTCTAGCCAGAAAATATGAGCTGCAAGAATAAATTCAAGGAGTCAGAACTGTACACTACAGAGAAAAAGGTTAAAATATACACCTGAAGTACAGAACACTATTATTGGAAATGAACTGTGGCAATATCTCACATTCATCATATTAAAAATAAGAATACTATTCTTAATTTTATCCCCTATTTACTCTCTCCCTTTCTTTCCATAAGTTTCCCAGTAAATAATGTATCTTACCTTCTCTTCTAATCTATTCCCTGAGTTTTAAATAGGTAATTCGTGTTTTTCTCATTTCACAGTATAAAACTAATTTCAAGTTTGAAGCACATCAAGAGAAGGAAACTACACTTGAATTATTATTACAGCCTAAAGAAGTAGTTAACTACGTGAGAAAAATTTTGCCAAAGACTGAGAAGGTTTGGGAAGGATTCTACCAGACATATATACTTTTTCTGTCTAACATTCTTTTCTTCTTTTTAGATATATAGTTAACCTATATTTTTCTTTTAATATATGTTTTATTGATTTTTTTTTTTTTTTTACAGAGAGGAAGGAAGATAGTTATAAACATCAATGAGAAAGAAACAGCAATCAGCCACCTCCTGCACACCCCCCACTGGGGATGTGTCCGAAACCAAGGTATGCCCTTGACCAAAATCGAATCTGGGACCCCTCAGTCTGCAGGCTGACGCTCTATCCACTGAGCCAACCTGGTTTCAGCTGTCTAACATTCTTTAGTATGCCAAAGCATGATCCTTAGATATTCTATCAACCCTTGCAACTAGAATATGTTTGTTGATTTTAGAGAGCATGGAAGGGAGAGAAAGAGGGAGGGAGAACATCAATTGGTTGCCTCGCGAAGGTACCCTGACCAGGGATCAAACCCACAACCTAAGTATGTACCCTGACCAGTAATGAAACCCACAACTTTTGGGTATACGGATGATGCTCCGTATACCCAAATCCAGCTGAGCAATCCAGCAATCCAGCTGAAATTAGAATTTCTCAGGTGTTTCTTGGTCATTCGTCTCTTATTACTGATGCCAATATATGCAATTTATAGCCATGTTGCTGTTTCTCATTTTTTGCCTCACACCTCATATTTCTAATCCTAACTTCTTGGTTTATACTTAGCTCTCCTCTTTTTTCAAGCTCCTCATTTTTGTTTGCTTATTCCGTTTCCTGTTATTCTCCCTACTTCCTTGGCTTTCATACGAATCAGAGGACATTTCATTGATGTTACCAGTATGATTACTCCTTTCATCCTGACCAAACACAGGAATATCTTCCAAGTCTCCACACCCATTTTCAAAGGGTTCTTCTTTTGCCCTCCAGACAAGTATTTTATTCTCTTCTAAATCTGAGAAGGTTCTCAATGCTATAACTGGTTGGAAATCTAATCTACATATAATGAAAGTGTTATTATGTCTAGTTCCACTAAACTGTGATATGATTGAAGACAGGGATTGTTATCTAAATATAGCCAGCATCCTACACAATACCTGGAATACTGTAGTTACCAAACAAGTGATTACAGAATGAATGAAATTCCAAGATGAATTACAACTTTCTCTGATCTGTACACTTTGGCATAAAGTAAGGTTTTGACAAGAGTTTCTATATTAAATCACAAAATTCATGACCTAAACATATATTTAAATATAAAAACTTTAATCATGACTTCCATTTTATACTGCTTTCAATATTTCTGGAATTCCCTGGAAATAGTACAATAAACAGTATTACTTACAAAAGGAAACAAAATGTAGTGCATACCTAAATGTACACATTATATTGTATTACCTAATTCCACTCTAAAGACAGATTCTCCAAAGTTACTGAACCATCCATTTAATTTTAAATTGTTTAGCCTCTCTTTATCAGCAAAGATAGTTCAAAGTTATCTACACTTCCATATTCTGGTCTCTGACTGTGATATATAAAAACATTTATTCTTCAAAAACCTAAAAACAAGCTATTCAACTGGGATTCCATGCCCACACCAAGCATTGTCAAGTGTCTTGTTCAAGAAAACTAGTCTCATGTGTTATTTATGTATCATTTTCCAACTCAAGTCTTTTTTTAAAAAATTTTAAATGAAAAAAAAACCAAAACAGTATTTTTCCACTTGATATTGAAATTATTGGGGTTAAAACTAAGCAACAATTTCTTTGGTAGAATTCTAAATGAAACATTTCTTTGTTCAACCTACTATAAACCTACGATTAAAAAAATTATAGTCCTTGTATTACTTCAAACGTATATTATCCTTATCAAAACTCATCAAAGGTTTCTACAAATTTAAAATGTATAATAATAACTTTCTGGTATACCTAATCTTGCCCACCAACTTCCCTATTTACACAGGTTGCCATCTCTAACTCACATTCATTAGTCAAACGTAGTTCCTATTCTTTAATTGTGCTTCTCCTCACAACTAGAAATAGACTGAGGCAAGAGAGGAACCTAAGATGCATAATTTATTGAGACATTCATTCTCAGGATTGTGCATGTGCCACCCTGTGGTTGCGTGACCATAAAAGTGAATAGGTCTTATTTTGTGTCTTAGTCATCTTTCATGCCTCTTACTCCTCTTACTTCTCTAATAAATAAACCAAAAAATAATTCTGACAAAGCAAATATCTAAAATTAAACAATGAATTTAAATATAACTTTTCATCTATTTAAAATAGTGTTTTCAAAGAAAATCTCTTGTTCACAATGTGATGTTAGGTGAAAAATGGATGAGGCAGGAACGATTATATACAGTAAGATTTTGGTGTGTGATTCTTTTTGTTTGTTTCTTTATTTTTCCTCAAATGAGTGCAAGTTGCATGTGCATGTAAGTGACAGACCTGTGCTATGTTTCACTCCCCTTCTTTTGGTGGCACCATCTCAATTTATTTCTATTGAACTACCCTTCTCTTACTCTTAATCCATGTAGTTTGGGTGGCACTAATTATGTATTCCCACTCTCAGGTTTCTGGAATGAGTACAAAGTTCCTGGAACAGGTATATGACCCAGGTGGGGACAATCAGCATATTCCCTCCCCCAAGCAGTAGTCCAGGAATGAACCCAATGGGACTGACAACGCACAATTTTGCAAGAACTAATGGGGACGTTATCTTTCAGCTGAGGTTGCTAAACTGAAAGAACATGATAAGTATCTATTTCATAGTGAGCCAACCAGCAAAAACAATTGCTAAAAGATGGAAAGAGATGAAGAACACTCTGAAACCATTTTGCCCCTAGATCTAATCGCACCTGAGTTCAGGTGTTAATAGATATACCTGCTACAACTTTCGTATTACTCTTGGGAAACAATTCTCTCTGGATTTCTCACATTCCTGCACAGAGCCTTTTGAGCAAAAGGTACTACAAGGATATCTGCATGACAGCCAGCCTTGGAAGCTACAGATAGAGACCTCTAATGAGCTTTGGAGAAGTAAAGTCCTCTCCTTCCCTTCCCTGGAAGAAATTACTTATATTCTTTTATTAACTCATGTTTACTATGCTGCTTTATATTTTATTTTTATTTACTTTATAGTCTAGTATAATAAACCTAAAGACATTTTGCCTTTCTACCCTGGAGAGATTTGCTCAATGAGCAATCTCTCCCCTCTGCAAGTATTCTCTTCCAATCAATGTTCCAGACTTAACAGTTACATGAAGCAATAAATTATTTTTTTTCTTATTTAATAACTCATTCGACAAATATTTGCTGAGAGCCTACATAGTTATGTGCCACACATTTTCCTACACAACAAAATAGACAAAAATTCCTGCCTTCAAGAGAGGGGACAAATACAAAATAAATAAAATGCACAGTACTGAACAGTAATAAGTATTATAAAGAGAGAAACCATAGAAAAAGGTAACAAAAAGTGTGAGGGAGGGAAGAGATTTCAAATTTATGTTAGGTGACTAAAGACTTTACAGATGAAATGAGATTTGAGCAAGGACCTAAATAGATAAGGAAGTAAGTCATATGGATATCTGAAATGGAGATTCTAGGCAAGGAGAACAGTAAGCATTTAAGAAAGAGCAAGGAGGCCTGCAGGGAGTGAATGGTAGAGTCTAGAGAAAAATCTGAGTTCAGAGAAAGATCTTGCATGAGGGAGGGACAGCAGGACCACAAAACTAGCTCATGGGAAGACCTTGAGCTTGTACTCGGAGCTGCATGGAAAGCAACTAAAACATTCTGAGTAAAGTGAGGTGATTTCTTACTTTTCAAAAGGATGACATTAATGTTCTGAGAGCAACAGCAGTAGCAGGGAGACTTATTAGGAGTTACATACAAGGAGAGAAAGGACAATATTGAACTAGAGTGACCCTAATAGAGGTGGTGAGAGCTGGTAGATTTCAGACATATTTTGAAGCCAACAGAATATGCTGAAAGATTGTGTGAGGGAAGTGAAAAAAAAGAGTCAAGAAAACCTTCAAGGTTTGAAGTCTCGGCAGAAACAAAAACAAAAAAAAGGTGTTGCCACTTATAGAAATGGTGTTACAGGCAGTTGGACAAACATGAGCAGAGTAAAGACGATGGCCCGGGTACAGAAACTCACCAGGTCAAAGCGCCCTGGATGCCTAGCACAGGGCAAAACAAGAACCTTTCCATAGTGCTGGTCATTCAGTTTGGATCCCCTGATCTTTTCCTCCCTAAAGACAACATCTAGGCCTTAGTGTAGGCCCATAAAGGCAGCAAAACCAGACAAGTGATCCTGGCTGCCTCAGGACCAGCAGCACTAATGATCCCCTGCCCTGGCCCCAAACAACCAGTGGAGACCATGACCTTGGAAGCGCATACCTGGAAAGCTGATGAATAGTCTATTGAAACCCTTCCCTGGGACCTCCCCTAAGATTTCCACCTGCGAGAGAGAAATAAAGACCCCATGAGCTCTCATCATTTGCTTCTGTCCGTCTTCCATCAAAGGGACCCCAGGAGACTTACAACCCAGGGAGCAATGGGCAGTAGCAGCTCGTCCCCAGCGAAACCCCTGAGCCTATCTCTAAGGCCCCCTTTCC